TATATATATATATAACATAATTATTTATACATGTTATTTATAATTTTGAAGGTTCGGGAGAACCGGTTTTTCCCCCCTTTTTTTCGCAGATCTCTTCGGTTTTTGCCCCGAGGGTGGGGAAATTCGTTTAGAAAAATTTACGCGGGTTCGTCGGTCAAAGCCTGACCACCTTTACTTTCTTCCGATAAAGAAGATCAGGAACCGAAGAAATCAGCGCGAGGATGGGGGAAAACCGGTTTTCCCGCGCCTTCGGGAACTATATAACACCGGCAGTTGCATCAGCGGAAACTGTTAAACCGGTTCTACTCACGTAAACGTGGATTATACGGCGGTTACAAAATCGGTGTTCGGCTGCTGTTAATTTACCGGTCGCATTCACAGGGAGGCTGCGAGAACATCCCATCGGGCTACGAAGCGGTGTCGCTGATAGAAGCTCTAAATGGGCCTTACACACCACGGACCGCCATCATCGCCCCGGAATCCCCGGACACGCCTGACACAGATACAGCGAGTGCCATTCAAGCCGCCGAAACCTTAAATCGGTACGTGCGACCCGGGTCGACGTGTGGGATAGCTTTGTGGCTCCCGGTTTACACACATCAATGCGGTGCGTCTGAAGGAACGTGTGTCTCTTACAGCTCGGCTGAACGTACGCCAGTTTCAAAACACATATCCGCGAAAGAAGCCGACATATCGGCCAGATCCAGCAGCGGCACCGCTTGCCCGACCCCCGAATTCCAAATGTCCGTGCTGTTGGCGAGGGACGAGCACTCGGGGTCGCAAAAGGAGCTGCACAACAGATCGCCGGCGTTGCGAAGCAAATCGGTACATTCGCGCGACAAATCTAGTTTAAGAGCGCGCGACACAATGAGATTGGTCAACGAGGAGAAACCAGCTTCTTCATACGAAGTACGCTTACCTATACAGAGAGAAATTCGAGCGGCTTTCCGCACGTGTGTGAGGCCCCGGTTGCACGAACAGTTTTCGATTTCGTACAGTTTGCTGAGATCGACTCGACGATTCTGTAATAATAATGATGACACGTGATCTCGTAGACGGTAGCAAACTTCTCACTGATCCAAGTTGATCTCGGGACGACGTTGCCTGCAAACTGGCCCTAACTCGCGCGTGACGCTGAATTTAAATGAAATTACATTTACCCGCTTACATCGCGTCGATTGTATACTTTGTAATTAAGCTGTGTCTTACACTCGTCGGGTATGCGTTTAAGGGCCAAGGACAGGACGAAGATAGCGAGGCGGAGAGGCTGTCGCCGCTGTTGGACGCAGCGACGAGCACCGAGGCGTCGGATGTACATTCTCATAGAATACGCGACATCGACATGGACGACGAGATTCAGAACACGGAGAACCTGAACGACGCGGAGATCGACGTGTGCCACTCGCATTAGGGGATATAGTCGAGAATACGTATTTTTACATATATATATATATATAGTATATATATATATATATATCATTGTTAAGTTTCGTATCGTTTAAATGATCTTTTATCTTTCGTGTAAATCGCGTGAGTGAATATCGTGTTATTTATTGGAGAGCTCTAGACTGCTCGCTGCGGCTGTAATTTCGTGAAATTTGCAAGCGAAGAATCTTGAAATGTGTGATATGTAAAACCAAATTCTTCCGATACACGTTGCGAAAATGTGTGACGAATCGCGACTTTTGACTTCTCTTTCTCTCTTTCGACGTAATCCATTGCGGTTGCAGCGACTGGCCGAGAATCTCAACACAGAGATATTTTCTATTCTGTACATTTACTATTGTAAAAAAGTAGAAATTACGGAGAAATTATATTTGTTACAATTTCTTATGCTTTAATTAACCGTTAGAATTGAGAGCAATATGTATGTATGTGTACTTGTCAAATTGTAAAGACTGGGACAGTACTTGTAAAGGGCAACGTGTTACGGTACAGCATTTTTTAGGCGGTAAAATTTATGTATGGAATTAATCTACGTGAGAGCATTAACATTAGATAATAAAAGTGCTTCCATTTTACTCGATGCCTCTTAATTTTCGTTCTCGCGGAAGGCAGTCAGACGTGAGACTTAAAACGGTACGCGAGAAAATTCGACGGGACAATATCACCGGAGTGTATCGTGCACCGCGTCGATCAGACGAAGCAATTTCTCAAAGTGCCGAGGAATCACTACTGTAATAACGACTCAAAGTTGCGTGCAGTAGCGAAAAGTGAGTCTGAAAACGGTGCTTCAGTTCAAGGTTTCTTAGGAAATAAAAAGTGTTCCACTTCTTTACAATTATTTTATTCAACCCCGTGCTCAGAATGTTCTGTACCTATTTAGGCTGTAGCAAGTGCCTTCCTGAATTTTTTCCACTCTTCGAGCGGTCCGTGTTCGGGCAAATACTTGACATTACAGCCATCTGGGGCAAGACGGCCTGCGGTCTTCAACGCCTCGTACTCAGCACGATCGTACTTCGTGAAGCCCCACTTCTTCGATACGTAGATCTTCTGGCGACCGGGGAACTTGAACTTGGCACGTCGCAGAGCTTCGATGACGGCCGCCTTATGACGATCGGAGGACCGAACGCTCATGATCGGCTGACCGATGTGTACCCTAGCTACGGTACCCTGAGGCTTGCCGAAAGCACCTCTCATTCCAGTCTGGAGCCTGTGAAAAGAAATCATTCAAAATTACATAAATTTATCGAAGAAAACGCACGTCCGACTGCAAAGCAAATCAAGGATGCAATCCGCTTGGTGTTAAAATGTCTCCAATTGTTTAAAATGCAGTCTATTTGCATTTGTAACGTAATAAGTAACGAAGTACTAATAAAGTCCGTTTTACAGTAACGTAAACACAGTTGTAAGTGATTGTAGTGTCGTGCACTTTCGTTGCAGCAAGATGCAATTATAAGCTATTACTACCAGTTGTGAAGTGTATTGTGAATGACGGTTGAATTTCATCTTTCACAACTACGACAGCTTAGACGTAAGAGCCAACCAATTAGAGTGCTGCTAAGGAAATGAGCGTGATGATAACTGCATTCCATTTAGTTGTCGTACGACGTATCTTCGCTCCATTGTAGATTAATTTGTTGCACAACGTTCGCTACTATTACTACTTCTACAACCCTACGTTTTCGCTATTATAGAGCGGTCTTAATATCGCACGTGCTACAGAACATTTCAAAGTATGAGGCAAACTACATCCTAGATTCACGAGCTTGTATCTGATCGGATTCATACCTATCAGCTCCAGCACACGATAACATCTTGTTGATACGGATGACATGGAAGGGATGCAGTCTCATACGAATGTGGAACTGATCCTTGCCGGCATTCTTCACCATGTATTTATTGGCACAGATACGGCCAGCTTCCAGAGCTTCCGAACTTAGCTGTTCGTATTCATCCGACACCAAGTGCACACACAATGGAAAGTCCTCGACAGATGCTTTCTTTTTGCCAAGATCGAAAATACGGATCTTCGGGTCGGGAACACCACGACAAAACCTCGATTTTGGATACGGCTTATTCTTGCAGTACCGATAACTATAATGAGAAGTGATTAAAGTATGTAGTATATTCGTATGAATTTCTATGCTGGATTTCTAGGCTATATTTTTACATCAAGCTATTGTATATGATATATTTCACAATATAACGCAACCGTGTTCTAACATGTGTACAAAGCACACTGCTCATGGAGAAATCTATATACAATTTGAGCACATCAACTAGAAGGTAACTACTCATTTATGTAAGATATATAAAACGTCATATAAAAATGACAAAACATGTTGTGAAAGTTGCTGGCGTAAGTTGCAAGTTATTAGAAAGATTATAAGCGTCATTACGTACCACCTCGCTGGTCGGCGCCCCATTTTAACCTATAAATTAAAATTTGTATTAATACAATGAAATTCGTACCAAATGTTGGAATTACGTTAATCGACGAACACAGAGTAAATTCAGCAAATGTAATATGTAAGCAATGATTTCATATATATTGAGATGTTAGGAGATTACACGGATAATAAGACGCACAACTTACCGAAGTTAAGTGGAGCCAAATGAGAAGAGGAAGTCCCAATAGAATGAACGTGTCTGTAGATGACGATGAGAGAGAAGTTAGCTACCAACCAGGATAAACAGGGTCATCAATCGTTGGCTGCAAAAATCTCATATCTAGGCTGAGCGTTTCATTCAGACATACTGATTGGCCATCGAATAGGGAATTCCTAGGATTCTTGAAGAAAAATTCCGGAGGAAACGCAGCACAAATGTGGGAAATTCCCTAGACATAACAATCTATACAACATTCGAGCAATCTTTGCCCCAGAGAAAGTTTCCAAGGTTTCCAAAAATTCCCTAAGAACCAATCGACATAGATACATTATTGTTTTAAACTGTTCGACAAACGTTACGTTTACGAATGCAGACTTTTCAGGAATGTTTGGACTGTTTTAAAAAGAATCCGGAAGATTTAATCTGTAAATTTACAACGACTGATGAAACTTCGGTCCATCATCATATTCCAAAAACAAAACAATAGTCAGAACAATGGATGTATAGTGGTTCTCCACCTCCAAGGAAGATAAGGTCAACTTTGTCTGCAAGAAAATATATGGTTTCGATTTTATGAGGTATTATAAGAGAATTTTATGCGGTATTATTGTTTAACATTTTAAAGAACTGTCAAATGTAACGTAATCTTCATGTAATAACTAATTCCGCTCTCCTCTATGACTCAGCGACAAATCAGCAGAACATTAATCAACAGTAGAACAGCATTAATTTTTGATGAATTTTTTCTTTTCCGGTAAGAAAAAAACAAAGAAAGAGAAAGAGAAAGAATTTTCCTCGTTTTCTCGATGAGAGAGAGAGAGAGAGAGAGAGTGGACATACGAATAGAAATATTAGCCACTCCGTCTCTTAACCAACTCCCCGGGGAATTTAACGGCGTAATGCTAAACGCTACATCTATGAATATGAATTAGCGTCTCGCCGAGGGGGTTGGTTGCGAACCATTTACCGCTTCCGTCAGCTTAGCGGAGCGCGCCAGTGATTATCAACCCTCCCTTATATTTAGATTTATACAAGAAAGCCGGAAAACAACACGCAAGAAACAGATTGTAACAAAAAGTCAAACTTGCATATTAAATGCTTGTCAAACGTTTTGGAAATGTACGTACGTTAAACGCATTAATTAAATCCGCGTTCCAAATCTCTCAAGGCGTCCGCCAGGTTTGAAATTGAGGAAATGATAGCTGTCTCAAAATATAAGCAGAAACGATATACCGTAATATAAATGTTTATCCGAGATCAATGCAAAAATCAGGCCGCTATATTTAGCGGTAAATACGGAGCGTAAGCAAGCAGATCGAAAGCAGTGATCGCAACGATTAACATTTGATCCCGGCAGCACGAGGTAGCACAATTAATTTCACCGATGGCAGGTCGGTCAGACACCGACTTAAGTGTATTTGTGCGGCGCGGCCGGAGTCACGAATGCGCCCTTACTTTAATGATCGGCCGCGGCAACCCCCCGTGACGTAACTCTTGTCGCGAAAGTGGTGACTCGAGAGAGCTGTCATATTTTGACGTCCGCAGCGGGCGTCGGCGAAAAGAGAGAAAGGGTGCGAGCGAAGGAGAGGAGGAGGAGAGAGGACGAAAGAAAAAGATTATTTTTCGAGGGGGGTTGAATCCGCAGTCGCGGAGAATCGCGAAAGAGAAGCTAACAAGGGGAGAGCTCTTAATGCTTTCCTGACAAATTTACGCAAGCTCTCTCTCTCTCTCTCTCTCTCTCCGCAATGGTATCACTCGTCTCATCGCCACGAGCATCTCGTTGCGCTTAATTTATTTAATAATCCGCGTTTCTCTTAATCCGGGAAGATCTTCCGTATTAAGCGCTGTCTGAATATAATTGTGCGAAAGAGGATGTAATTTAAATACGTAAATAAAAGCGCCCACGCATAATCTTTGGATTCTTTCGAGTAAACAGGCTTGGTTTTTTATGATATGTTACGAAAATAGTTGTAAATATACTCTTTTAATTTAAGGGAATTCCTTTTAAGCGTAATAGTATCGCCTAAAATTTATCTGCCCTTCCTTTCGTCGTGATTTAATTTATAGAAATAAGAGAATTATTTTGGATAATAATGCTGATGATGATAATAATGATAACAACAACAACATAGATAATATATTTAATATAGATAGTTATTTCTTTATTGAATAAAGTAAAGGATATAAAGTAATAATATTAAAATTGCACAAAAAAAGGAATATTAAAAGCTAATGAAAACAAGAATTAGACGATGACTTAGAAAAATGAATAATTCTGAATTGGAAGTGAAGAACAAATAAGTACACGAAGCAAGAAAAACGATAATATTGTGACACTCCTTAATTTGAAATTAAAAGGCGCGACAAAGCGTCTGTTATCTGCGCAATTACTCAAAAGCCGAGTAAATGAAAATTAAATATACATCATCCGCGGCACATGTGAAACGCGATGCGAAGTGAACACACGTCAAAACGTCCTCACAAGCGCCCCATCAGAGTGCACGCCGCTTTTAACTCCGAGATTCGACCAGGGACGAAATTTGAGCACCGAATTAGGCGTGCCGTCAAAAGTCACTCGGGCGATTGTCATGATCGCGCGAGCGGTACGTGCGAACGATAATAATCGACGGACAGCCGTTGGGGTGTGTTTTGATTTCAACCACCACGGTCGCCGGCTATCGTAACGTGCGCAGAGCAGACATAGCCAGCTATTCACGCAACTAGACAGAGAAAGATAGATAAATAGATGGATGGACAGACAGAGAGAGAGAGAGAGAGAAGCGTTATTCACAAGGTACAAGAAGGAAGAGAGAGCGAGATCAATCCCACCGACCCTCTCGACGTTCGAGTCTCACAAATTGACGTCCGCAGACACGAGGCCTGTTCGTCCAATGCCAAACGAGAGTGACGAGCGTTGCGAATCCACGACTCGCTTAACATTTCCATTGTGATCGCCGTTCCCGTGGTTCGAGAGGCGGAAAGAACGGGGGACGCGCCGGGGTGGGGAAACGCATCACGCGCTCGCGCGCGGAAGCAACGCGACGCCGTTGAGGATTATAATAATTGCGAATTAACGTCGGGTAATCGGCCGGCGAAGTACGGCCAGCGATCGACACTGCGTTAAACGAGGAAGGGGGAGAAGGAGCGCTTGATCCTCGGACGTTGTACGGGTTTTCTGTTATCGAAGAGAAGGAGATTTAATTAACTCGCTATAATTCATATTTATAATTAAATTAATTGATGATCTTAAGTACAGTTGATAAATTTATTATCTAAAAAATATATTATCCTTTCTGGAATATTCCTCTGTCGTCACTCTTTCGTTCGTGACAGATTAATTCGATTGGGTAATTACCATTAACTAATTTCTGGTCGTCTAAATGTATTGAGCGTTATAATAATACACACGAAATGTCACGTGAATATTTACGGTAATCTAGTAATACGGTGCGGAAAAGTTGATTAATCGATTAAATAAACAAAGAACAGACGTGATCGATTTCAATCAACCTGTAATCTGTACGAGGGAGGCGGAGGAGGAGCAAAGAGATGAAAGATGCGTAATGGAGAAACATGCAGCTCAGCATTGGCGCCGACTGGACTTTTCTCGACTTCCGTTAAGCTGGCAACCCCCAACATCAACCCTAACTATTTAATATCTCGGCGACGAGTAAAGCTACGTTTTGATAGGGGTCGCACGAAAATTAGTTATTTTGTCTCCAGGTCGAATCCTGCCTACAGGTTCAATCTCATATATTTGTTGGCTCTACGGATCGTCGGTCGGATCGTTATTAACGATGAAAATTTCCTTCAAAATTTTATGCATCATTGCAGATTAACGCCATGTACATATTTAGTCCTTGCCGGCATTAAAGTCTCAAAACGGCCAGTTCTAATTTCATTGGGCAAATGAACGCTTTGCGTACTATTATACCTTATCAATGTCTATCAATCTTTTTTTTTTCTTTTGTTCCTTCCAATGTGTGGTTTCTTCACGGACGGACGGGGATGTAAACGCGATTCTTCGCACCCCTATCGCTGCGCCAATGATACTCCCGATACAAAGATGAATGTCTCGATAGTAACAATGAATAATACTCGACGGGCGATGGTTAAACGCAGGAGCGGATCGGATCGGGGCCGCCTACGAGGAGGTGGAGAAGGCCCGGGACGCATGGGCAAACCACCCGTAAAATCCGAAAGGGAGCCGGCGCGGCGAGGAGGGGTAGGAGTGGCGCGCGGCGTGCGGGGGCCGTTCGGGTGACTCTGTGACGCGATTATGCTAACGAAGTTGTTCCATTGTAGCGCTGTTTACAGCGACGCGCGCATTAAGGCTGCGGGAACAATAGGGCGGCCGCTATGGTGAATCCTCGGAAACCGGGACGCGCCACGACGAGAGAGAGAGAGAGAGAGAGAGAGTTATCTCGCTAACGAACGAACCGGCTTCGCTGTCCTGATCGTCGTCTTTAGCGAGAGAGGATAAATAAAATCCGTTCTTCTTAGCCTCAGCGTTGTCGAGGAAGAGAACGACTTCGCACCTCCACCTCGTGATTATTTTAATTTTTTGAACATCCGGTACGTTCACCGCGCCTCATACCTCCACTCATGCTCCAATAATACTCCGCCTTCGTCCGAGTTTTTGCGTTTCCCAGTTTTAATCAACTTGGGATCCACGCGCTTCGCCAAGTTATTTTAACAACGCGTCTCGGAAATATAACATCCTCGTATTCTGCGAGGAACATTGCCGGTATATACGTGTTCACGCTTCGAAAATGGAGGAAGCTGAAAAGAGCAGCATGAAGCGGATAGAGGGTGGTTAAAACAAACAGGTGTGCCGCGCAAAATTCCCCGGGGAGTCTGAAAAATATTAAACGTAAAATACAATACGCGATATTCCCGTCTCTCCCTCCCGTCGCCGCTCTGAGGCGTTACGAGAGGTGTGTGCGCGCGTTCCTGCACGAATCCGCGAGATAAGGGGGCATTTTAACGGCATCAAAATTCTCGGCGGGATACGCAGATAGAGAGAGAGAGAGAGGTCCCGGGAAATCGTCGAAATTCTATGCG